CCCCCCCCCCCCCCCCCCGGACCCCCTCCCCAGGATTTGATTTATCTAAATTATCTAAATTCGGTTCAGGAACTAAACAACTTAAGTAATATAAATATGGGGGAAGCCTCCGAATTTAAATTATTGAATTCCCCTCCTGCGACCCCCTAGGACCTAAAACAATATATGCATATACATATACATTTATATTTTTTTTGCCGCCTAGCTTACAATACACAGTTTCAGCTGGCAAATCGACCGGGTTTTAGTTGCACTGTTGGTTCATGGAAGCTTGAGGTGGGTGAAACACTGTAATGCTGCAAAAATTCGACTATTCCCCACCCCAAAACTCATGAGACAGTGTAATGCTAACAAAAGTCCAGAATTGTGGCCTCTATGGCTGGGAGGGGGAGTGAAATCTCCAAAATTTGATTCTTTATCGACATTGTGATTGTTCCGTGAGTTCTGGGGTTGGGAATTTCGGATATTTTTGAACATTACAGTCTTTCAGGGCTTTCCAGGACACGCAGCTCCGTAATGCTCAAAATTCTGAGAAATCCAGAATTTTTTTTTGCAGATGTTCGCCCCCAGCCAAACCACAGATGCCAGAATTTTGATTTGTTGAGCATGACAGTGTTTCATGAGTTTCAGTGTTGAACATTTTGGGATTTCTCGGGCATTACAGTCTTTCGTCATGTCCAGGACACGAAACACCGCATCACAGGATGAAAGGGAGCTCTCTTCCGTCCTCACAAGACGGCGCAAAGTTAATTCATACTGAAGACTGTAGGAACTCTGTTTACTGCTATCACTATCGGACAATGGGGCTTCCTATGCTCCTTGCTATGAAACAGAGAGTTTTCATTTACGCTTGTCGATGCTGTCTTAGTCTTATATCCTGGAAAAATGTACCGATCGCTGTGTTCGCGATTGTTTGCCTACTGGCGGCCTAGAACGTAACACAACATTAAGAAGAGCCCACTTCAATCTTCAAGGAATACACACTGTTTATATACTCCCTAAATCCTAGCAGCAGACAAAAAAGTTTGTTTACTGGTAAAGTCTATTACTGCACAGCTATTGACTTCTGTGCTTTTCCGCACAGAGCAAAAAATTCTGTCAATTACTATTGGAGCTGCCTCCTTCATATCTTGAAAACCATCAATATAGGACAGTGGGGCCTTCCTATCCTACCTATGAAACAGGAGTTTTCATTTGCTCTTATTGGTGCTATCTTACATCCGCAACATGAGATTCCGAGCGCTATGTCCATGGCTGTCGTTTTAGTAGCTGTCATAGGTGGTGTCACAAGACATATAGGAGCTTTCTTCCAGAAAGGTGTCGTCTTACGTTTGTTACAAGGATACGAAGCCCCTAAGTTTTTTTGATTGACGAGTTTAGAGAAGAGCTTTTCTGTTTCTTATGAAGGAAAAACAAGCTCTGGGAGTTGGGACCCAACTGTCAAGCACTCGGTTATGGCGGTTTCACAATCGGACGCTTCACGCACAGCAGGAAAGAGACGGCGCACACAGAAGTGCATATGTGCATAAACGGTCAATCAAAAGGCACATAAGACGGACCATGTATGTAAATGTGCATACAAGCAGCAATTCTGAACGGCTCGAGAAATAGGACACGCCACAGCTGAAACTGGGCTCCTGCTCCAGACTGTTGGAAGGCCTTCGAAGCCATCTGGATGGAAATCGCCGCTTTGTAGCAGGGCTGATCCGAGATGGTCATCTTGATCTGTGTTCCGCGTTGAACAAAAGACGGGTCAAAGGGCGAACAGGCCAGTATTGGTCTGGTTGAGGGTTGCTTACAGACTGTTTGGTTGGCACATGCTGGCAGTGGCCTTTTTTGTCATAGTCCATGACTTGGAACTTTATGTTGTCACCCGGCTCGTAGTTGATCATCTCTTCCTCCACGGATCTAGAGACTAGACGCTTCAGTCGTGTCCCTTGTGATTCTTCTGGGCTTGATGGTTCCCGGCATGCCGTCCGCATCTCTCCGCTTTTGGCAAGAATTAGCTGACCAGGTCACACTGCAGGGAATCACGAACTGGAGGGTGCACCGTGGAATTAATCAGGCCATGAATACACAGGGTGTTGCATGGACTAAAGCAAAAACCTATCAAAGAATAGATCACAAGCCGAATCCTTACCGTACTCACGCCACACTTTTGGCTGATGTTCGGCTGCATTGGCAGGATTTCACACCTCCTTTTTATTCCGTTCAGAAGCAAACGGAGCTGTTGAACCGTATTTGTGCAAAGCCTCCTCACTTGGGCTGAAAGTTAAATGACAAAGGGGATAGCCTCTTCTTCACTCCTTTACCAGGTGCACCCAGCTCAGCTTCTGTTCAGATACAGTCCTCCTCATCCCACGTCGGATTGAGCTCCTGCCAGCCAACCGAATTCCAGTGCTTCTTGAACAGTAACACGCCAGGTCCTTGTACAAGATGCAAGTTCTCCATGTGGAATGCTTCTTGTGAGGAATGCCGACCTGTCAGTTCACAGCCAGCAGCGAAGCCGAAGCTACTGAAACTCGGACAGCTCATCGTTGGAAGTCGTTGCCACATCGGGTATGACATTCCGATAAAAGTCAAAATCATGATGATGATGATGATGATGAGGATAACGATGGCGATGACGAAGCATGTGCTTGGAGTCATATTGATGCCTATTCCCGAGCCTAGCGGAAGACAACACTGGGCCCCGGGCAATGCAATAAGGATCCGATTTGCCACCACCTCTGCTCCACTTTTTAGTCAAGTCTTGAGTACCCGTTCTTTGCTCTTCGGACAACCGATTTCTGTTGTAGTGAGTTTCCGGGGCAAACACACCCGCAAATCTCTTTCTTGGTTTCAAGGGGTCTTAAACCGTCGCTTCTCCGACGTCTTGCCCTCGACGCTACCCAGCACGAAGAAATCTGGATCCACATTACCGCTTGCGGTAAGCACTTTTCAAGAGCTTGGGCCAATGCCTACCAGACTCCAGTCTGCGGCTCGAAGGCCCTGCACATGAACTGTGCCAGAGAAGGCAGACACGGGTCTGGGCGGTCCCATTCACCGAATGTAGCAGAAGCATCTGAAAATCAGCCAACATGCAAACGTAGTTAACCTAATCTGGACGTGAGAGCCTGTTATTGCGAGTGCTTGAGGCCTACGCAGGTCTGTACCACTACCGTAAGCATCTCGGGCACCGCTGTGCAGCTAATCCCGCGGTTCCATCTTCAGACAAATGTGGGTGTTCGAGATGCAGAAAGGGCATTCCGGTTTGAGCCCTGCAGTGGTTTGGATCTTTATCCCCACCTTTTTCGCCCCACAACTGCAGACACCAACCTCCCCAAGTTGCCATATATTGCCAAATCCTCGCTTTGGCTCCCGACTTCAAAGATTTCACGACATCACGATTTGCATTAACTTGGAACCTGGTCCGCGCAGATGAATTCGAACGATTTCGTTGACATGCACATCAAGCCAGCATTCACTCCGCATGCCCGAACTTGCCTCTGCTCTCTGAACAGTCACCCAGCACCGGGTGTCACGGACTGGCATCTGGATCAACCTTGCGAGCCATGCGAAGCAAGATTTCTTTTGGCTGACATATGTTGCAACTTCAAGTCTCCGATAAATTGTGTAAAGAGCTTTTGAAGCAGCGGATTAGCAATCACACGCGCACCTACCCATGCCAGCAGCCGGCCTACTCGCAGCACGGCTCTCCGGAGACGTAACGCGACGACGGATCAGCTAGATGGTGGGATGAATTTGGTGTAGTACCCCATGTTGGTCCTACTCTGACCGGTCGATTGCAGCCCTCCTGGATGCTGCCCGGTTCAACTTCAGCAGGACAGGATAAGAGCTGCACATCGCCCATGGGAAAAGCTGAGGTACCCGCTCAGGCATGATCTGGCAAGAATAGGGCTTGCATCGGCTTGGTGCTCAAGATACGCGTATAAGCTCCACATGCTCACCAGCATGTTCTCCAACTAAAAAGCATTCGGAGGCCTTGAGTTTGATGGTTGCCACCTTGCCATCCTTTCTTGCTGTATCGGTCAGCTCCTCCGGGACATGTCTAGGACAGAGCCGTCAAGACCAGACTTCAACACGCAACTGCTGACCCATGGCCGTGAATATCGCAAGACTGTCGCAGGAAAAGCGCACAGCACACAGTAGCAGTTTCGGCCGAAGCATACTGCCCAAGCTCTGTACTGGGGGCGGAACGAAAGTCTGATCAACCCCAGAAGGATAAATCCTCGTGGGGTATCCATGGCATCGGGTGGCACATGAAGGGAAGAAGGTGCGTGTGTACAATGCTGAGTACCCGGCTGATCAAAAGTGAGCTCTAGAGTACCTCGTTGCTGCTTGGTGCAGGCACTTGGGGATCATTGCAGAGCAGCTTCCAGAATGCTCATCCTTCAGACTTCAGGTCCTCGGGCCCATGCCTAGAAGATCGTCAGACCTGACCAACGCAAGCTGTGGCCGCGCGCAGCAGCTGAAGAGTACCCCAACAGTCCGAACACGGTCTACCATGGTCTGAGACAACGCATGAACAACCCCGAAGCTGTGCAGGTTGATGCAGCGGTTGCCATGCGGTCTTGAAGAAATCTGTTCTCAGATGAATGCCCAATCGCGTCGTAGTCCATCACTTGGAACTCGATGGTGTCTGAGGTTTTCTGGCGCCAGGACATGCCCTAGCCCTAGATGCCTTGCAGCCTTGCATTCACAAACACGCCCTGCATCTCTAGGGCTTGGCGAGAGGAGAGAGAGGGGGATAGAGAGAGAAAGAAGAGTGCTCTCTCTGCCCGGCAAGCACTCCTTGTCCGTGGAGTCCTTGTTACCGGCTGGACGCTGGGGGTCCCGGCCATGGAGGCCATCTCGCAGTCAAATTTCCACACCGGGTCCAGCCTGGGCCAAGTCACAGCAGGAATGGAAGGAGTCGAGCGCTGCCGCTAGATACCGCCAGCCCGTAGCAAGCCCCCGTTCTGATAGTTAGTGGCGTCTTGACTGGCAGGTGTCTGTCAGCTCTGAAAGCTCGCTGCTTGGGAGCTCGCGTCTGATGTCTAGCTCAGCACCCTAACATTCAACGGACTAGCCCTCCATCGCGCACAGCTAGATGGCTGATGGGAACACGCAATCAGCTCTTTTCTAAGTCTACGGGCGGCGTCGTCGAGCTGCTCGGCTGAGTACCAATGCTGCATGCTTGCTTGAAACTTATTGCAGCTTTGTACACTTGATCGCCATAAGGTCGGAATGGGTCATGTTACCAGTGCAAAAGTCCTTCATTCATGTTAGGTGCACCCTTCGAGCATTAGTACGACAAGCCCTCTCACATCCCGGACGGGCATCCCAATAGTGCGAGACTGCCCCAGCGTCTCCTCAGCTCTCATGTAGGCTCTGCACTGCATCCAGCATCGTCCATCCGTCCGTTCAGAATTAGCCGGACAGTTTACTTGAGCTCGACCTCTTTAATGATTTAGCTTCGCGTTCGAGCATCTGCCACGATCCCAGGGACTGGCAAGAAACATCTGGAAGCAATCTCGCATGATGTTCTGTGCCATCAGTTTCTCGATGCGCACAAATTGGCCACGGATTCTGGGCCACTCCTGAGCACTGCCGTGCATGTGCAGAAAGACATAATCATCGCTACTGTACCATCCCCCTGGCCCATCAATGCTGTCTAGGTTGCACTGAGGATTGCCGTTCACATATCGCGAAGCATGACATTTCCTCCGAGAGTCTTCGTAGCTCACTGTCCGACGGTCTTCTTTTCTCCTGCGAGCACTGCATTACAGTCCAGGAGTAGAACAGCGCGGTGAACATGATCAGCCAGCAACTGCTGAGATGTTGGTAGCCTATATTAATATCCATAAGCATCCTCCCTAATCCAACCCTGTGCATATAAGATTAGGTCAAAAGAAGTTCGAAGCGTACCACGTACATGAGTCGAAGCTGACAGAGTCTATAGCAATGCTCGCACTCCAAGTATGTACTGTCGGAATCGCCTGGCCGCAAGGTACTCTTGAGCAGCGGCTGCCCCATGCTCCCAAACACCAGTCCTTTCAGGCGCCTGATTGCTTCGCCTGCCCACAGCTTCGGCATCATTGGCTGCTCTGCTTGAAGGAGCTGGGGAGGGGAGGGGAGGGAGGGGAGGGGAGGGGAGGGGGAAGGGAGGGGAGGGAGGAGGTTGCAGCGTCATTCATTCACAGCTTATTGCTTCGTCGGGATGTGACGCGGCAACGTCGTGAGTGATGGCTTTCACACTTGTGCGTTAGAACAGCGGCCGCTGCTGTCTCGTTGGTGTCAGAGTTACGGGCCGTAGCCGTAGCAGGCCTCCGTTCCCTTGCTTCAGGAGTAGGAAGGCAAGCCTCGGCTTCAGGCCGCGGCAAGTTCTTGCACCTTCCCCGAAACTGTTCATCAGCACCAACGACCCACTTCTAGTGACCACAGCCGAGGACACAGCCGAAACTCAATCTCCGAGATATGTTTAGCAGTAAAGGCGCCCCCACTCCCGACAAGAAAACTAAATACTCCAGGGCCTCAACAACACACACCGCCAAGGCTCGTCCTCAGCGGAAGCAGCGCTCTTGGCTGTATCTGAAGCGCCTTGTCGCAGAACTTCCGTGCCTCCTGCCAGTCTATACAGTGGCACTGTCAGTGTGCTTTCGACGCGTACCTAGGCTTAGGTTTCGCATGTCCGTTTCAAGCGATCGGCCGTGTATTAACAGGGGACACTTCTGACAGTGTTGTCCTTTGAATCGTGCTTGGGGTATGGAAGGAGAATGAAGAGGACGATGACCCCCAATCTTAAGCCGTGATCGTTCAGCTTGCTCGTGTGACCAACGCACACGTCACGAACGGCAGTCGGACAGAGCAGAGGGGGCAATCAGAGCTTCCATAATGTGCTGATGCTTCG